AAGGTAATAAGTAAGATAATCTGCTCTGAAGTAACTCATATGTTACCTAAAATAACATATGAATTAATGATGTATGATATTTATTCGATTTTCTTCCAAATTCTCTTTTGTGAACTTTGTTTTAAGAAAAAAAAGCCATTTTGTATTTTTGAGAAGTGAGGAGCAAGGTTTCTCCTTGAATATGTATAACTTTAAGAAAATAATACATAAAATATTTGACATCCAAAAAAGAGACGAAGCATTCAATTGGCCCAAAATTCATTTGGGTTTTTCTATCACATCTTACAGAAAAATCTAAATGAAGTTTTTGGCCTACCCGACAGAATCAGTTCTATTTAGATACTCTTTCTCCCAGTGATTATGGTCAGAGTAGCTTATCCTTCCAGATTTGTTGTAAATTACTATCACCTGATACGAGATTGTCTACCTATCCCTATCATCTCCTCTGTTACAGTTTGGAAAAGACTTACTTTGATAAGAAGCCCCTTTCCTTATATTTGGTGCTCACTTCCATAGCCAGGAATCAAAATAATTCACTTGTTTCCATGTTATGTTCTGTGATTCATACCTATCCATAATCTTTCCACAAGGATAAGATGTGTGGTTAGTTGCTCAGTCATGTCTGACTCTGTGAACCCATGGACTATAGCCCGCCAAACTCCTCTGTCCCTGGGGATTCTCCAGGCAAGAATACTGGAATGGGTTGCCATGCCCTCCTCAAAGGGAATCTTCCCTACCCAGGGATCAAACCCAGGTCTCCCACATTGCAGGCAGATTCTTTACCATCTGAGCCACTGGGAAGCCCTTTCACAAAGATAAGGTAGTAAACAATGTGATTATCCGATGAAGACATTAAAAATTTAAAAAAAAAGGAATAATATGTCATGCATTTATGTATTCATTCAGCTTATTATATCCTTATATTTAAAACTGTTACTACACAAATTATAATAAATATGACCTTTACTTTCAAGATGCTTATAGTCTAGTAGAGGAGATATGCACACAAATGACTATGAAAATAATTGCCACAAGTCAGTTATAAATATCAACATCCAGAAGAGAAATAAATTGCTTCTCTATGTTACTAATCTTCCATTGGGCAGGACAAGACTAAAAACTCTTGGGAAACAAGTGTAAAGAACACTCATTCCTTACCATCACCTCCAGGCACAGGTGGGCAACTATGCACCAGACAAATTTAATCTATCATTGGACATCTCTATTTGAGTATTTTATTAGGATTTCAAACTCACCATGTCCAAAATCAAATTCACCTAAACCGTTTCCTCCTATCTTTCCCCAGCCCTGGTGCCAATCTATATCCCTATTTGTTATTCAAATAACATTCTCTCTACATCTCAGTTATTTTCTCTTTCATAATCAGTCAATAATATGTCAAATCAGAAACTGTCTACCTCCTTAAAGCTCTTCACTGACCCTTCTCTTCATTTTATTGATTTGTAATAACATTTGCACCATTTTCTTTAGTTTTTATTTCTCCTGACTATAATAGTCTAATCTTTATCCTGCTGACAGATTAATCTTCTCAACTGATAGCCCCAAATACATAATTCCCATGCTCAAACATATTTAGAGTCTTCAAAATAGTTAACTATCTGAGTCAATGTTTCTAACCTTGGCATTCAACATATTCTGAGACTATATTTCCAACACTTAATCTCTGTCCAACCTGTCACCTCCTTATATTTCTAGACTAGAATATAGTGCTTTAAAGTTCCTACTCAAGAAATTTCATCCATCCAGGATCTCCAGTTTTTCAAGTATAAAGTTTATCATAATTTCCATTTTTATATGAAGGCTTTGTTGATATTCCTACACTCCAAACTAAGCTAGTTGTGAATTCTCCATAAATATTACTACTACTTAAGACTTCTAATATAATCAAACTTATAAATTGGGGGTAGAGTTAAGGTTGGAGGATGAGCCAATTATTTGACTAATCCTCCTCTTCCCTTCTTCTAGGGCAAGAGTTGAATCTTATTGATCTCTATAAACCTACAGTGTCTAGCATGGTATCTGTCTTATAGCGTATTCGATCTATTTTTTCCCTGTGAAATAGAATGTTCAACCCCTAACAAATTTCAACAAGCAGTTAAATTCATCTTCAGACACCAATAATGTGATGTTTGCTCCTGCCTGCAAAAGACTTAAACATTTTAATCTTCCTTAAGTTAATGCAAAGTTCAAAAAGGCAAATGACACTTGAAAAATAAATTACTTCCAGGGCCTCCTTTTTCTTGGAATCCTTCTTCATTTAATTTTTCTCATTCCTGACAGTCAAAAACTCATCGATCTAGACTTAAAAGCCTGAGGAGCTTAAAAGTCACTGTAGGGGTCTGTTCAGTTTTAAATACAATTTAGAAAACCTTGAGAAAGAAGGACAGTTCTTTTTCAGGAAGCTCCCATACATATTTCAATAGAATAACTCTCCAAATTAGAGATTATAAAATATTATACCACCAACGAAGTAATAGAAAAAGTCACTCACTGCCATACAGAAAGATTTCCTTGATTTTCATGAAGAGTACAAAAGACTATATTGTATTTATTTAAATCTGAGACTGACAAAAAGATCAGAAAGAAAAAGAAAAGTAGTAATTTCTCTAAAAGATCATTATTTAGGAATAAATTACCATGCAAAAAAAAAAAAAAAAAAAGGCATGGACCTTCTTGACAACTTGTGAATTTAAGGCAGATGAAATGCCTCCCGCAGTACCCCTATAATCAACTCTGCTGATGAAGTATGTTAAGTATTCTAAGCTTGGGGAACATATAAAGCTTTGAAATCAATGTGTTTCCGGTACAGGGGATTAGGAAAAGAACTTAATAAATCAGCTTAGGAAATGCTTCATTTCCTGTACCGTATCTGGGAAAGAAAACATAAAACAGGCAGAACCAGGTGCAGCAAAATCATATATGTGGATGGGAAAATCTCTTCCAATTCCTTCTGGACCTCACTCAGCTGGTCAGTTTATGCTCTCTGGAGCTAGTGCTCCTTTTTCTAGGATAAATGGGGTGGATTTTACAGACACTTGCCTTAAATTAACAAAGGCTCATTGACAGAGGCTGAAGCAGATAGTCATTACGTAACTGTTGTCTGCTCAAATGAGAAATTATTTCAGTTGGGTTAAAAGTTCCTTAGAAAGAAGATACTACTAACAGAGAGGTTGGGATCATTGCCAGTGAGCTAACGGACCTCGGTATTTTCTTAACATGACCATAACAGAAAAAATCTGCCAGGTCATCTCTGGGTTATTCTTCACCTTTCCATCTTCCTTACAGTCAGGTTTTGCAGCCTGATTCTATGGATTCTATTCCAATTTGCTTTCAGAAATACATGTAATCCATTCAGAGTTTAACAATGCAAGGGAAGTAGTATACTTATTGATGCTTGCAGACCTGGGATGGCAAACATCTGAACTCAGACGTTCAGAATTTATATTGACTTGACACGTGTTTATGAACAGTGTTTCTCATAGCACCAATTCCGATCAATCTCCCCCATGCAAACTGCAGAGTTATTTATAAGCTAGTGCATTGATTTCTGTGTCACCTCATGAATAATTTTTGTTATGAAAAAATCAGAACTTTGTAAATCATCTAAGCTAACTTTTGGTCTTAATACCCACTGCAACTTAAATCTGGAAGCTCCCAGATGGGTTGTAATCAATTTGATTTTGTAGTGTTTGGATATTTGTCCTAAATGTATACACATATTCTGAGGAATTAATGATAAATATTGTTCAAGAAGGAGTGTGTTTATTTTTTCTTACATAATCACTGCAAATTGGAATTTTGTAATCAGTGGACTTTTGAAAAGAGCACACGCAAAATAAAATTAGGGGCTGTGCCGGTAGCTTAGATGGTAAAGAATCCACATGCAATGTGGGAGACCTGGGTTCAATCCCTGAGTTGGGAAGATCCCCTGGAGGAGGGCATGGAAAAATAAAATTAGAATTGTTTTTCTTCCAGGGCTCCTCAGAGTCAGAATTAATGTGTCCCAACTGTGTTCTTTTATGATAGTGTTTTGTATTTTGGTTTTTGCACTTATTAAATCTGTCTTGTGTTAGAATTGCATGTTTATTTCTCCCAGTGGTGTATTTACCATTATGGACAAGGACAATGCCTTACTCATTTTTGCATACCTTGTACTGCTGAGTACATGGTGGGAGCCTAATAAACATTGATTAAATTTAATTACTTACAGTACATCCCTCTGGAAGGGTTAATAGTCAAATGTAACCATCACTTGCAAATGGTTATTAATATAGTCAGGGCTTATATAGGTGTATATATATCCTTTATCTAAGTTTCAGAACCTGCAGTCAATCAGTAGGGTTTTTATGCCTATAAATTCCCTGAAATGTTACACAAAATTTTGTACATATATGTATAGATATGTGCTTATTTCTAAAGCAAGCATCTCTACACTTTAATCAAGTGATTCTCCTCCTTTCTCACCCTCCCCTCTCAAGATTTTAAGATTCACCTCCCCAGGGAGCTTTATCCAACCTCTCTATCAGAGGCAGAAAACAGTTGGGACAAATAATTGACCAGCAACTGCAACACAACATTTCTGATTATTATAGCGTTTCACCCATACATGACAACCTTCTTGTATGTAGACTTACATCTGAAAAGAGTACATTTTTGAGAAATAGCCCATTTTTAACCAGCATATAATCCTCAGATTGTGACTTTCCAAAAAGGCTACTGTACATTCCCAGCACCTTTTGGATGCCACGGAACACACTGGAAGGCCGCTGCCGCAACAAACGTTTTCCTTCAGTGAAAACAAGCATCCTCTCTATGGTGCCTTTTCCAGGCACTCTCCAGCCACACGCACACGTTCAGCTCAGCAAACGCACTGCTGCATCTGAATTTCAGGGCAAACTCCCTGAAGGTAAACTGAGGCTCAGAGTGCCTGACGGGTGATTTCTAATCCACACCATCAGAAAAACAAGAGAAATCCGTACCTGGGTTTTGCGCACTGTGAGAAATACTGGCCAGAAGAAGACAAAAGATGGGGCCTTGAAGCATCTTCATAGTGCCCGAGGACGGTCACAGCACCTCCTCTCTCCAGAGTCAGGCAGGGACAACACCCTCCCAGCCTGGCAGGGCCTTCTTAGCAAATGGAAAAGGTGTGCTGGATGTGAACAGCCGCTGCCCATTCCTACTTATTTCGGGGGCTCTGATAAAGAACGGGAGGAAATGCACACACTCCCTTTGGGAGTTCAACAGAGAGGAGATTTATTGTTTCAGTCCCTTACAGGAACTCTTTTTTTTTTTTTTCCTCTTCCTTTGGCAGCCATTTGTGTTTTTGTTACTACATTATTTTGTTCTTCTTCAACAAAAAGGTCAGGACGGGTTTTGAACAGAAAGAGATCTTTCTTGAGAATGGATCATACAGGCTTTCTAACTTTTGTTTTGAAAGTGTGTTTTGGAGTGATTATAAAGGGGCCTCATTAAACAGTGACTAGGTTTGGATAAAGAGGCTTTAACTGCCTGAGGGTTAAATTTTAAAGCAGAATTCACAAGGAATCAACTTCTCTTTTTCCAACTTGAAAGCCAAATTAGTAAAGACCACCTTCTGGAGATAAGTGCAAAACTTTATGAAAGTAGATCATGCTCTGAGTAAGGGAAAAGACTTCTTATTTAATGGCCAAGGAGGTTTTTCAGGATATTTCTCATAGAATTAAGTAAAATCATGTGGAAACCCACTGGTCATTTCTAGTCTTATTGTTGGAATCTGATGAAGGAAAAGGAAAAATTACTTATAATACTCCACAGATACTCTTCTCTAGGAAATGTGATTGAAAAGGCACTGGGGTGGGTAGAATGCTCTTGTAACAAATCAGTGAGGTTGAGAGAGTAGGGGTCCTTGGACTCGAATAGCAATCAGACAAGATCTTCAGTGTATCAGGGATCTCTTTGATGTTAGCAGCAATTGATTAAAACGTGTAATGCAGTCACAGTCCTGGCTAAAATCCCTGTGTGTGCCAAGTAATTCTACACTTCTTCCCTGTCACAGGCTGCATATCTAATCTCAGCCAATCATCCTTTTATATACCTTCAGGCATGAAGCCCTGTAGACAAAAGAGTGTCAATGGATCAATACTAATTCATCTGCTTCACCAATAAAACTATTCCTAAATTACAACTCTATCTGTTCATAAGGAGAACACACATTTCACTGCTGCACGGTGCTGGGCAGGACTCATGACAAGAGTGGTTAGAACAAGTCACTGATCAAAACATCATAAAACACTAGCTTATTTTATCCTAAGCTACACCAAGTCCCAGAAGAGCCTCCAAGTGTCTATTTTGTGTATAAAACCTAATTTTACTCTCCCTTCTAAGTAATTTTCTAAAACAGACTGCCTTTGGAGTTGTTACTCAATTTAGCATATCCTGGACAGTATAAAGATAGCAATGTATGTGAATAGATGTCACATGCACTTTCCAGAAATAAATTGGGTGTGGCCAAGAACTCACAGTGGAGACTTCACATTACCTCACTTCCTGCTCCTTGCTCTGTTTTAACTCTGGTGTTTTTAGCACACATGGTCAATTCTGATGGTTGATTCTGTTGGTTAGAATCATTGCTGCAGGGATGCAACAATATTTTTATTTCTTTGATTTTGATGCCTGACTGCAAGGCATTTCTGTGAAAAAAATTAGATGCTTATTACAAGAAAGCTTGATAATAGAAAATTAGGTATATTTAAAAGATAAGTCCTGTAGTTGAGAAAAACAAACACAAAATCTGAGAAATACATTTTTAAATGGCTTAGCAAAAAAAAAAATTGGAAAACTAGGAGTAATATGGTGGGTCAGTTTCATTTAAATTGATGAGAAAGTACTTTTAAAGTAAAATAATTTGTTGAAGCAGTGGTGATTGCAACAAGTTACAGAGATCAATGGCATAAAACAGAAAGTACAAACACAATATATATATAGCTATCTACATATATGCATAGACACAGATACATTGCCCATACGAGTGTGTGTGTGTGTGTGTGTGTGTGTGTGTGTGGAGAGGACAGATACAGGCTAATTTAACATATAGTAAATGTGATGAGTAGAATGGATTATTTCATTAGCAATTTTTGACAAGTAACAAGTGATCAGAAATAGAGGAAAATAACAGAATGGGAAAGACTAGAGATTTCTTAAAGAAAATTAGAGATATCAAGGGAACATTTCATGCAAAGGTGGGCACAATAAAGGACAGAAATGGTATGGACCTGAGAGAACAAGAAGATATTAAGAAGAGGGGGCAAGAATACACAGAAAAACTATACAAAAAAGATCTTCATGACCCAGATAACCATGATAGTGTGATCACTCACCTAGAGCCAGACATCCTGGAATGTGAAGTCAAGTGGGCTTTAGGAAGCATCACTACAAACAAAGCTAGTGGAGGTGATGGAATTCCAGTTGAGCTATTTCAAATCCTAAATGATGATGCTGTTCAAGTGCTGCACTCAATATGCTGGCAAATTTGGAAAACTCAGCAGTGGCCACAGGACTGGAAAAGGTCTGTTTTCACTCTAATCCCAAAGAAAGGCAATGCTAAAGAATGTTCAAACTACCACACAATTACACTCATCTCACACGCAAGCAAAGTAATGCTCAAAATTCTCCAAGCCAGGCTTCAATAGTACATGAACTTCCAGATGTTCAAGCTGGATTTAGAAAGGGCAGAGGAACCAGAGATCAAATTGCCAACATCCTTTGGATCATAGAAAAAGCAAGAGAATTCCAGAAAAACATTCATTTCTGGTTTATTGACTACGCCAAAGCCTTTGGCTGTGTGGATCACAACAAACTGTGGAAAATTCTTAGAGATGGGAATACCAGACCACCTTACCTACCTCCTGAGAAATCTGTATGCAGGTCAAAAAGCAACTGTTAGATCCAGACATGGAACAATTGACTGGTTCCAAATTGGGAAAGGGGTACATCAAGACAACATATTGTCACCCTGTTTATTTAACTTCTATGCAGAGTACATCATGTGAAATGCTGGACTGGATGAAACACAAGCTGGAATCAAGTTTGGCAGGAGAAGTTTCAATAACCTCAGATATGCAGAAGACACCACCCTTATGGCAGAAAGTGAAGAAGAACTAAAGAGCCTCTTGATGAAAGTGAAAGAGGAGAGTGAAGAAGCTGGCTTAAAACTCCACATTCAAAAAATGAAGATCATGGCATCCAGTCCCATCACTTCATGGCAAATAGATGGGGAAACAGTGGAAACAGTAACAGACTTTATTATTTTGGCCTCCAAATCACAGCAGATGGTGACTGCAGCCATGAAATTAAAAGATGCTTGCTTCTTGGAAGAAAAGCTATGACAAATATAGACAGCATATTAAAAAGCAGAGACATTATTTTGCCAACAAAATTCCATCTAGTCAAAGCTATGGTTTTTCCAGTGGTCATGTATGGATGTGAGAGTTGGACCATAAAGAAAGCTGAGTGTTGAGGAATTGATGCTTTTGAACTGTGGTGTTGGAGAGGACTCTTGAGAGTCCCTTGGACTGCAGGGAGCTCCAACCAGTCCATTCTGAAGGAGATCAGTTCTGAATATTCATTGGAAGGACTGATGCTGAAGCTGAAACTCCAATACTTCGGCCACCTGATGTGAAGAACTGACTCCTTGGAAAAGACCCTGATTCTGGTAAAGATTGAAGGCAGAAGGAAAAGAGGATGACAGATGATGAGATGGTTGGATGGCATCACTGATTTGACGTACATGAGTTTGAGCAAGCTCTGGGAATCAGTGATGGACAGGGAAGTCTGGAGTGCTGCAGTCCATGGAGTTACAAAGAGTCTGACATGACCTAGTGACTGAATAAGTTACTAATCATCTTAAAAAATCAAAGTTAGCTATCTACTTCAAATACCAAAATAATATCTTATATGTTAAAATTTAAATGTAAAAATCAAAATTATAACATTCTGAAAGAGAAATAAGTGTATGTAACTAGAGTAGAGAGGCTATTTTATGGATAAAACCAAAAGAAGAGTTCTTAAAAGAAAGTGTTGATTTGTTTTCTTATATAGAAAGTAAAAGATTTTTGATTCAACACATTATAAGTTGAAAAGGCAAATTTAAATGCCTGTAAAAAAATAATACATAATTACAATTTGAATCCTTCATATGTAAAGACCTCTTGCTAATAAATAATAAAACAATGACTCTGCCCCTTAAACACAGACAAAATAACATCATCATGGAAGAAATAGAAGACCAACAAAATGGAAAAGCATATTTATCTCAGTAGAAATCACAAAGAAACTGATGTTCAAGAATTGATATAACATTTTTTTTTGCCATCCCAATATAATTAGGTATATTTTCTGACAAGTCCCAGTTTAAAAGAATTTAAGGAAAGTTACTGTCTTATTATTGGTGTATGATCTTTCAGGTGGTTGTAACCTGACAACATACATCAAAGTTATTGATACACCAAAACAACACACACCTATATTAAAGAACCATACTCTTTGAACTCGCAATTATATGCTTATGAATTTATTCTAAAAATGAAGATGCTCATTAAAGTTTATGTTATTATAAACATTTGTCAACATTAATTATTAGAGAATAAGATAGAATATTTTGCCACAAAATACCAAAGAAATTGTTATGGATATGGAAATACATTCATGATATTTTGTTGCATGTTCCTGGGCATTTGTATGTACATATGCATATATACTTACACATGAATATATACATATATATATAATAGAAAATATTAACAGTGCTTATCTCCTGGTAGTGAGTTGCAGATGGTTTTTATCTCCTAATTGTTTATTTTTCTTTAAACCTTTCTCAGAGCAAAACATTATTTCTATCTTTAAACAAAACAAAGCTTTTGTATGATCTGATACTTTTTGCTTAATTTAATATTTTGACAGAATATTTATAAAACATTTTGTATTCTAACCTACTTGAATGTTTTAATTATTTGAAAGATAGATAATTACTTAATAATCTATGACTTAAGAGTGCTTTAATAAAAGAAAACCTG